GGATATCTGGCGCTTACGCTGCAGGCTCCAGCACAAACAGCTGCTTTAATTGTGGCGAACCTGGACATTTTTTTAAAGACTGCCCAGAGAGACATTTTCTACAACCACCTACCCACCAACAGTTACCCAGATCAAATTGGCGTTCGGGGAACTTCAAGCAGAGCGCGGGATGGCCTCGCGCTCTGACATCAAATCAAATGCTGCACCGCTCCTCCCCTCCTGCCGAGTCCACCATCCCACCTCCACGAAACCACAGCCTCAGACCCAGCAGGTGGAGCATTTCAGATGGGAACCCGGCGCCAATTGGTAACCAGACTCTCCTTGCAGCTTAAGGGTGACTGTGTTTATAAGATCCCCACAGGGAAACGTGCACCACCAGGCGGTCCCTCCAACATTTTAATACTTGGGGATCCAATTAACTCTCCGGGACAAGTCCATATAACACCTGAAATCCAGACCTTACACCCAGGAGATGAAATTTTCATCTCTTTAACTTGCACAGACCCTCCTTATTTTTTAAAACAGCAGACTCCAGTGGCACAAGCCTTTTTGTTACCAAATGACTGTCCGGAACAGGTTCCCCTCAATCCCACCACCATGTGGACTCAGGTTGTGGGCTCCAACAAGCCTATCATGGAATGCAGCCTGTTCTGTAAAGGGGAAAAGATCCATCGCCCAGGAATGCTGGACACAGGAGCGGACGTTACCATCATTGCCCATTCCGAGTGGCCAGCCAACTGGGAATTGCGGCCTGTGGTGGGGATGATTTTGGGAATTGAGGGAGTGGCAGTATCTATGAGAAGCAGGCACAATGTAATAGTAGAAGGTCCCGAGGGAAAAATGGCGACCATCCAGCCATTTGTTGTGAGGGCATCAATCACCCTCTGGGGGAGGGATCGCCTATCCCAATGGGGGGCTTCTTTACATATTCCCAGTAGGGATTTTTAGTGGGGGTCACTGAAGAACGCGCTAAGCCCACCATCCCCCAACTCACCTGGAAACAACACCATCCAGTGTGGGTTGATCAGTGGCCCCTTTCCAAAACCAAACTGCAAATACTAGAAGCCCTCGTGGAGGAACAGCTCGCCAAGGGCCACATTACAGAGACCAACAGCCCTTGGAACTCCCCTGTCTTTGTTTTATGCAAACCAGGCAAAGACAGGTGGAGACTCCTCTATGACCTCCGAAAAATCAATGAGGTCATTGAGGATATGGGCCCCCTCCAGCCTGGTATGCCCTCACCTTCCATGCTTCCTCGGGACTGGAAGCTTGCAATCATAGACATCAAAGATTGCTTTTTTAACATCCCTCTCCATCCTCGAGACGCCCCCAGGTTTGCATTTTCAGTTCCCTCCCCAAACAGACAGGCGCCTCTAAAAAGGTACCATTGGCTTATTCTCCTGCAAGGGATGAAAAATTCTCCCACCATCTGCCAATGGTACGTAGCCCACATCCTATCTGTGGTGAGGGTCCTGTTCTCAGACGCAGTTATATTACATTACATGGATGACATCTTGGTTTGTGCCACTGATGATGACTACCTCCACCGGACTTTGCAAAAGACTATAAAGACAATTGAGGACGCTGGGTTTGAGATCCACGAAGACAAAGTCCAGTGCACCTGCCCTCGGACCTACCTTGGACTCCGGATTCATGAACGGACCGTCGTGCCCCAGCAGCTGACCATCAGAGACTACCCCAAGACCCTGCGGGACCTACATCAGCTCTGCAGGTCCATCAACTGGGTATGTCCTCTGCTTGGGATAACGACAGAAGTCCTCGCCCCCCTCTTCAATCTGCTCTGCGGCAGCGAGGAAGGACCTTGATTCACCGCGCGCCCTCATGCTGGAGGCCCGAGAATCCTTCACCAAGGTCCAGGAGGCCCTGTCTTCGCAGCAAGCTCACCGGTATGAACCCAGCATGCCCTTCCAGCTGGTTGTCCTGGGTAAGGCCCCATGCTTACACACTCTCGTTTTCCAATGGGACATGGCATTGAAAGATCCACTCCTTATCATTGAGTGGATCTTCACACACAGTCAGCCCACCAAAACTATCACGACTCCCAAAGAAATCATGGCTGAATTCATTAAAATGCAAGAGTTCGTCTCTGCGCTCTTGCGGGGTGTGAGTTCACATGCATTTTCCTTCCATTGACAACTGGGGATTTGGAGCCGTTACTCCAAACCAACGAGAGCCTTCAGTTCGCTCTCGATAGTTATTCAGGCCAAATTTCTATAAACCCACCTGGCCACAAATTATTTAAAACCACGTTTAATTTGGTCCCCAAATTGTTACTTAGCAAAACACCACTCAAGGCTCTGACAGTTTTTACTGACGGCTCGGGGAAATCTCACAAGTCAGTAATGACTTGGAAGGACCCCAGGACACAGAAGTGGGAGTCTGATGTCCAAGTGGTTGAGGGATCACCACAGATTGCTGAATTAGCAGCCGTCGTCAGAGCTTTTGACAAATTCCAAGAACCTTTTAATCTGGTGACCGATTCGGCTTATGTGGCTGGAATAGCTATGAGAGCAGAACATGCATTTTTGAAAGAAGTCTCTAACCTAAATTTATACAAATTGCTTTCTGAATTAATATATCCCATCTCCCACAGAAAGCAACCAGACTATGTCATGCATGTGAGGTCACACACTGACCTCCCAGGTGCCATCGTGGAGGGTAACAAGAGAGCGGACACCTTAGCCATGCCTGCTGGAGCGGCCATACTCCCGGACATTTTTGTGCAAGCGAAATTGTCCCACCAATTTTACCATCAGAACGTCCCTGCCCTGATGAGGATGTTCAAGTTACCCAGGGATCAGGCCAGGGCAATAGTTGCTACCTGTCCCAATTGTCAATTTTTTCAGGTTCCAGCAATGAATTATGGGGTTAACCCCCGCGGACTCAACAGCTGCCAAATTTGGCAGACTAATGTTACCCACGTCCCGTCCTTTGGGAGAGTTAAGTATGTTCACGTTTCAGTGGACACTTTTTCTGGTGCAGTGTTTGCCTCAGCCCACGCAGGTGAAAATGCCAAACACACCATCCGACATTTTCTCCTTGCGTTTGCTACCCTGGGAGTCCCCTAACAAATAAAAACAGATAATGGACCTGCTTACACCTCTCACAAGTTAAGAGATTTCTTCAGTCAGTGGGGGGTGAGGCACACCACAGGCATACCTCACTCTCCCACAGGGCAATCAATTGTGGAAAGGACACACCAGAACCTTAAGAGAGTCCTTGATCAGCAGCGGGGAGGAACAGAGATCATTCCTCCCATTGAGAGGCTCTGTAAGGCTCTGTATGTTATGAATTTTCTGAATTGTTCACCTACAGAGACTGACCCCCCTGTAATACGGCACTTCTCCAATTTGACCCATGCCAAACTCAAGGAGAAGCCGCCGGTGCTGATTAAAGACCCTGAATCAAAGCAAACACTGGGACCTTTCCCATTGATTACCTGGGGGAGAGGGTATGCTTGTGTGTTGACACCATCTGGTCCTAGGTGGCTCCCAGGGAAAAATATAAAACCATACTTAGGCCCTGCAAACCCTGCACCAGAACCAGATCAGTCAAAATCTCCTGAGACCCACACAGGTTCTCAAAAACAACAAGCCACCGCAGCCTGGAGACGGAGATGTTGCCGGAGTCCACCGAGCCGGCCCGCCACCAGACCATCAAGACTGCCAAAAGACAAGAACCAACATACAGCTCAACACTGTGAAACGTACAAGTTCCTCTAACTCCTTTCCCTTCCCTTTTCCCTCCCCCTCTTCCCTTTCTCACCTTAAATACCTACCCGCAAACTACTCACTTGCTAATTTGCACAAAGATGCAACTTAATGCTGCTACTGCTGGTGCCTTGGCCATGTGTCCCCCTCTACGCAAAATGGCCCCACCAGCAACCAACTACCTCATCCCCAATACCCATTCCCCGCTTATATTTTCTTTTTTCTTTTTTCTGAAAAAAAAGGGGGGAGGCAGGAGAGAAAGGGGGAAAGAAAATAGCCCCCCACCAAAGTCAGAGCTAATCTTTTTATGTTCTGTTATAGAAAATGGAGAGCAAAACCATCCTTGAGTTCCTGACCGTCTGGATGCTCCCGAAAACATCAGCTGTGGATGCCTGGCTAGTAGCACAGCCCCAGGATTTGATGGACTGTGCTGCTTCAACCGATCAAGTCACAGTGAAGGCATCCACACTTGCATCCAGAGACTCCAACATGCGGTTCAGGAACTCAAGGCTGAAAAAGAGCCCCAAATGGTTCGAGGACCTTTTTAGAAGCTGGGGAGTCAAAGGATGGGTTGCCTCCCTCCTTAAAAACATCTTTTGGATTTCTTTAATTATCGTTACTGTTCTATGTATGTTCTCCTGTTTCAAAAGGTTGATAACTAGGTCTCTGGGAGATGCCTTTTTATTAAATAAAGAATAAAAGGAGGCTTTTAGTGGAAGCCAGGGAACCGGCCAGTTCAGAAATCCTGGTGCTCCCCTGGATAGCTTCTCCCTAGGTGAGACACTTTTATGTCATGCAGAGAAAAAGTGTCACTCCCAGAGGCCCTAGAGTTGAACATGTTAATTTGTTACACCCCATTGGTTTCCCTCCCTATCAATCCACCCTGATACATGTATCCAAGTTTTCCCCGCCCCTCTCCTTCTCTATATATACCCCGGTTTTTCCCCATTTGAGGGAGCTGCTGTCACTGGCTTCCTTCACTGAGGGCCCTGCTATAATAAAGGCTATTTCTCAGTGGAATGCCATACAGCTCTCTAGTCTCTCTCTCCGCATTGCCTGCATGCTGTTGCTGAGCTGAAATCACTCACCGGGCAGAGGATGTGCCTGTGCCCCTGGGCAGTCCTTTTCAGGACGGCTTCTTCAGGGTAGTCGTGGCACCCCTGTCATCGACACCGCCGAGGCACTGAGGAGATGACTGCCCTGGGTTTTAAAAGCACTTAAACCATTCAGCCCTCAGTCAGTGACTGCTGTCTGTGAAGATCATTATAGGGAGGTGCTGGTATTGCACCAAGTGGGTTGGGGTTACTGACCAAGACATAGAGATCATGGAAGTGCAAGTTGGCCACAGCAGTGAAGGTGCTGTGCTGCCCAAGAAAAGGACACAACTTTACAGCTTGATTCCCATTCCAAATGTAACTATTATTAATAACATCCTTTGAAAGCTAAATACCATCCCTCAAACTTATCTCCATGTCCTGCATGTAACATTTCCAAGGAATAATCGTTTCTTAAAACCAGACACTTTTAGACTAATGTATTTTGCTGCTCCAGCCCAAGAGGTACCTCTGTTTTCAGTTCACAACAGAAGCTCCACTCACCTGGTTTTATTTCTTTAAATTTTCAGTTCAAGATACACTGGGAGTTTTTAATGCAAACATGACTTTATGTTCTCACTATTCAACAGGTTCCCTATGAGCTTATCTGTACAGATAGTGCTTTTTTGGAATACTATATTTGGTTCCATTCTTACCAACTGTAGCATAAATCATAGTGTATCATGCAAGTGTAGAAGTGGTGTGAGGGAAGGAAACAGGACTTGAGGAACAAGACTACCAAAATGCCTTGGTCTTGGTTTCTGTCTTGGTCTAGGAAAAAAATCAACTGACACAAAAATGCTGGAAACAGAGATGTCTCCTTCATAAATACATAAAGCATATTTCTTAGGGATGCAGTATTCAAACAGGAATTGGCATTTTAGCTGGAGACAAATGCACTAATCACGGTCATGAACACAGCTGAACTTAATGCCTCAGCAAAACTGTTCAGTAATGGCATTATTCATGATAAAGGAAATTAGTATTTTCAGGATAGGACACACTCAATACAAACAGAATCCTTTGTGCCTGCATTTATGAAGAAATAATTCAGAGTATGTGTTTGACCAACTTGCTATTAAAATGGTAGCACAGCTCTGGGCATCCTTTAAAAAAAGATGTCTGGATGAGAAAGACATACTCCATAAATTGCTTTTAATTGTCCAGATGACCAATTACTCTACCACTGAGTAGAAACAGATCAGAGGGAAAAAAACAGAATTGAAAGATTACAGAACAATAGAGGTTATTTTTAAAGTAAATTGAAATAAACAAATCTTTTACTTTTATTCATTCCTAAACCTGCCCTTTATTAAATAGTGACTGATTTATTCTACATTTGAAATTGTAAAGACACAACAAATAGGATTCTGAGACTATCTATAATCTACTTTTAACCATCTCTGCTTCAGACACTGATTTTCTCTTCCAAGCTAATTAGCTAGCCCTGTCAGGAGAAAATGCCAATGCAGTTAAAGTGACTATATAAAGAATTAGTAGTTAAAATTTCTGAAAATCAGATTCATTTTCTTAACTACATATCAAGTCAAAATTGCCAACTTACCACATAAGACCAATTGATATTAAAAGCATGGTAATTTTTCATATTGTTTAAAACTTGAAAGCACTACTTACAACTTGCTTCTAATACCAAAAAAGAATTTTAAAAAGTAGTCTTTTTAGTAGAGTAGTCCACTACTCTTATCCCACAGCTGTATTACTTATAGCTGCTGCTGATTAACGAAATCATAGGTCTTTATTTCAAATGCAAAATGAAATGTTTAGTGGCAGCTAATATCCCAGAGATTCTGGTTTTTAGGCTCCTGTTCTTTGATGTGTTACTGACCTCTAGTTGAGAAGCTCAGGAATTACAGAGCAGAGCCGCTCCCACATCGCCGGTGGCATCGGAAGAATGCGTTCAAAATCCTAACAAAGCAAGGCAAAGCCAGAAGAACCTTGCCTCCTCCCAGCTGTGGTCTCGAGGAAGAGGCGATGCACAGT